AAAACTGGGCTTATTATTGAGTAGCTGTGTCTGTGTTCCACCTTTCACCAGAGATTTAATTTTCCCAGCTCTGCTATGTACCTTTCCCCTTCTTAGATTCTTCCTGTGGCATGAAAGCTCTGGCAAACAAGAACTTATTTCTGTGGAGCCCAGCAACCCTCTCTCTTCCTTGTAATCAGGAGGTAGCAAAGAATTTTCTCTAAAGTGGTTAAGGAAATTTTAGAAACTTGTTCCCAATCCTTTTGTTTGCTTCTTACTGGTCATTTAAAACTGTAATGCAGATTGGGGTGGGGGGAAGGGGTTGGGGAGAGAGGGGCGAGGTGAGGCAGGAGAGGAGAAGGGAGAAGAGGAGAGGGGAGGGGAGGAGAGAAGGGGCTGCCCCATAAAATCCTTGTCATTCACCCCACACTGTAGACTTTAAAACTCCCCAGGTTTTCCCATTAGAAAAGTTCTGTGTGCGCCATTCTCCTTCAATGAACTAAACCTCCAAGCGTAGAATTTAAGACATTATTATCTTGAAACTTTTAGTTCAACAAATGCCAGAAGCAGCCTGGGTCATGTCAGGGGAGCCACCCAAGCACTAAACAGAATTTGCAAACCTACCTTTACTAACTATTGTTTACACTTTGTTGTAGTTACCCTTTGGGAGAGGGCTGGCCATGGGAGGTGTGTGTGATAATATTTACACTTACTCCACTGTGCTTACTCTAAGTGCTTTTTGGGTAAAATATACAAAATGACTCTGGGAGACCTCATTTATGAACTTGGGTTATATATTAAAATTATCATATTCATGGGGAAAATATGTTTAATAGAAACACTAGGTCAGACTTTCTTTTTAAGAAGTTTCCTGCTAATTTGTGTGGTCCATCCTCACAGGCTCCAGGGGCCCCCCAGGCGTTAGGGAAGCATCCTGGGCCCCTAAACCCTGTCCCGTCAGGTCTTTATCCACCTGGCTCCTTCCTCCCGGGCCTGGACACCTCCTTTCTTTTAGTTCAAACACAAGGTTGTAAGCAGCAATGGGCATGGGGTATTTTGTGTCGGTGGAACATTGACCAAGGGAAGGAAAACGTTGACTGCCCTCTGACATCCTCTCCTGTGCGTTCCACATGCTGCAGCCAGAATGGTGGCCCTCATCTTGGCACTCCTGTGTTAAAGCCTTCCAGAGGCTCCCGGTTTCTACCAGAATACAGTCCAAAATCTTTACGGAGCTTTAAAAGGCCCTGCACAGTCTGCCTGCATCTCCAGCTTCATTCATGTGGTATCCTTCCCCTGTGAGCACTCCAGTTCTAATGAGCATTCGGTCCCACACCCCTTCATTCTTTAGGGTGCCAGCTCACAGGAACTCATCCTTCATGCCCCGGTAGAGGCATCACCTCTCAGAGGTGTTCATGCATCCGTCCTCCACCTGCTATCCCCCTTTCTCTTCACCCCCATGCTCACATAGCTCCCTCTACCTCACTTTTAAAGCACTCATTACCTGGGGAAATGGTTAGATCCTCTGAAGGCAAAAGCATGCTCTTTACTTCACAACAAGCTCTTAGCCCAGCACCGGGGACCCAGTGGATGCTCACTTCCTTGATTGATTGCATTAGCATGTGGATGGAATAGAGGGGGGAGGATGGACGAAAAGATGCTAGAGGAATGGTGTTGTTGGATTTCTCTTATCCTTTTCTACCTCTAAAATGATACCATTCTAGTTTTGAGATGAATGGTTCAGCTGCAGAAAAGAGTTGATATTTGTTTATATATATTTCAGTTGACTGTTAGCCCAAATATGATGCAGGGAAGGATAATTAGGAAAATCATGTATTCGCATCTCTCCTGGTTATACTTTGTGCTTTGGGCATGGCTAGTCATTTATTTTAATTATCATTTTCTGCAGTGATTACACTAGCTCTCTAAACCAAAGAATATGTTTAAATTACACAAATGCATTTCAATTTCATAGCCTCATATTCAACAACAGGTATGAAGACTCTGTTCAGAGTCCCCTAAGCAGACAAAACACAAGTAACAGATATAATTGCCATGGGGTCAGGTCTGTATGTGTGTTCTCATAGACGTCTTCTTCCTTTCAATGTTTTAGGTAAGTTTTTTTCATAGTAGAAATTCATTTTATAAACAACCTTAAAAATTTAGAATTGCAAACCAACAAATGAGAAAATATCTTTTCTTTCCAATAATCAGACCACCACGATTAGCATATGGGTGTATTGTTTACCATTTTTTTTCTAGTCCAAATTTTTGGTTTGTTCCCTCCTTTCTCTTGTACGTAGTTGAGATCCTACTGCTTGATTTTCCCCTCACTGCTTGTTTCCCTTAGTGTATTCACATAAAACGGTAAACTATACCAGGGAATGAAATGGATGGTGTGCCTTCTCTTGGCACAGCAGTGGGACGCTGTTAGCAGTCCAGACTGCGGTGTGTGAGGAAGGAGGGTTGAATACTGTGGCAGAGTTACAGAGCAGAGCTCACGCCGTGGTAAGAACTCATAGCTGCCGGGCACTTCAGATCTCCAAATTCCTTGGAACGTTTCCCAGTGATTGAAAATAAAGGTGTGTATGATCAGCCGCTGCGGAATTGAATAGCTCTTGGAAACCCAGTGCTTAAGATACTAATGGAGCATCTGACATTGAGCAAGTTGTTGGATGACTAATTCTCTGGGTTGCTGTTTTCCAAATGTGTGATCTGGTCCTTTCCTTTCTCTTCTGCCGCTTTCTCTGTCTCTCAGCATCCACTAGCCACTGCAAACGCCTTGCTCCAACTGTTCTAGCGCTTTCTTTGTACTTGAGGCCTGAAATGCTCCCTCTTCTCCTACTCCAATACTTTGCTTGGAAGGTTCCATGTTCTTCCTCTCTCCATGCAAAGGGTGCTTCCTCAGAGAGGACCTCCTTGATCCCCCTTCGTAAAGCAGTCCTCCTGCACCAGGAAACCTCGGAGTGGTCCTCCCCCGTCCACCTCGACTTCTTGCCACCTTACAGTCCTTCATCTGGAAAAAAGGGAGCTGACAAGCTAGCAGAATGCCCCTAAAATATGGTACCTTAAGATTGGAGCTATTCCAATCCAGAGATAATTTGTATAAGTTACAACAAGATTAAGGGAACAAAGAAATGATGGTCCTAATAGAGTTTTTCTAACTTTCTCTGTCATGAGAAATGGAAGTGTGATTGCCTACAGTTTTGTAGTATTTCTAGTAGACAGTCTCCTTCTCAGAGCCTCAACAAGGAAAGGAAAGTTATAATTGGATGTCATTGCTGTCAGTCATCTGGGTGTGAAAGAGGGAGGGCATTTGCCTCACCCCAGAGCACCTGTGATCAGGTAATATCCCTAAGAGCTTGTCTGTGAACTAGCTTCTCTTCTTTATTCTTCACGGGCTGCTTATATGTGAGTGTGTGAGGCAGGAGGTGAGGGGCTTTACTGTCTGTCTTTTGAAACAAACAGGGCAAAAAATCAAAGCAATAAGCTTTTAGGAAATTAGTGTAAATATTATGAGATTATTAATTTTTAAAATTCTTGCTAAAAATAATAGGAACGTTGTCAAAAAAGAACCCTTTTGACTAACGTGTGTTCCTTGGTGTTCTACATCTTTCACTCCCTGCCTTATAAAAATAGAGCTAATTAATTTAAATTCTGCCAAAGAACAGGGAGTATTCTCTGGTCTTTGGCCAAGAATTCCCCTCCACCACCACCCCCATTCCCACTCCCTTTCCCACCTGTCACTCTCCATGACATCATCGAGTGTTTTCCTTCCTGGCCCTTCTCAACACTGAAAATTGTGGTATTCCTTGGTCTTCGAGTTTGTCTGCCTCTCTCATTCGAGTGCAGGCTCCATGAGGGCCAGGTCCTTGTTGAACTGGCCCACCCCTCTCTCCCTGTCTGCTTGGCCTCCCACAGTGCTTGGCATATGGGTGGTAATCAAATACACGTTAAAAGAACAAGCAACTAATTGCTTAAATGAATCCATGTTTTTACAAGTGGATAATTAAGCTCTGACCCACGTGTTTCAGTGAGGAAAAGGGTTGATAGAGTGCATGGGTTTCTTGACAAGATCTTCACATTTGTTCAGTAAACACTGAGTGCCTGTCAGCAGGTCAGGCCCCGGAAATGCCGCATGAATAAGACATGACTGATGTCCTCCAGGACCTTAGAGACTAGCAGAGGGACAGACACACACATGTGTGTCTGTGTGTGTGTGTGTGTGTGTGTGTGTGTGTGTGTGTAAATAACTGCAAGTCTATGAAAAAATGGAATAGAGGTGTAAAAACAGGAGTCTGAACTACAGCGGGGGGAGGGGGGGAGGCAGGAGGGGGAATACGATATTTACTCTGGGCAATGATGGAAGATATTTACACGGGCAATGAAGGAAGAAGAAAGTTTGGCAGGTTAATTAGCAGGAAGAGCCTCCCAAGCTCTCGACAGAGTCAGAGACTGAAAATGAATGGCATGTTTGGGCACTGTGGGGTCGGGTGGGGGGAGAGGGAGCTGAGAATGCTGCACCAAGGCCTTTGGATTTGATCTTAAAGGAGCCAGGGCCCCTGCCTCAGCAAGGCCAGCCCTGGTAAGAAATCCAGATGAGCCTGTACCAGTGTGCGGAGCTCATGGAGGGGAGTGGGCGCTGTGGTTAGAAAACCAAACCACTCACCCCTGGGGCTGGCATGTCCATGTGTTCACAGTGTATCTTCTATAGAGGCACAGTTTTGAATTCATGGAGATGAATATGTTACTCGAAATCAGTAGCTCTTTTAAAATGTATCTTCCAGCTGAAAACCTTTTCATGTGTTTCTTTGTTGAAATTTAAAAACTTGTGAAAACCAGTTTTTATTTGTACACAGATAAATGTTACCGTATACATCACTGCAGAACACACTTCCTGGATGTTCACGTGAAGTGTAATGAAAAGTTTTGGGATCTTCCAGATGAGTGGATGCCCAGGTCTTTCTCCCCTGCCCCTTGTGAAAGGCACTGCCCTTTTCTCAAAACCTCTCTCTCTCTTACAGTTCCACGGCATCCTTCAAATGACTTGTTTGAAATATTTGAAATTGAAAGAGGAGTCAGTGCAGATGATGAAGCAAAGGATGATCCAGGTAGATGCTTATTTTATTTAAAATTGAATTTATTGGGCTGACATTAGTTAATAAAATTATATGGGTTTCAGGTGTACAATTCTACAACCGATCATCTGTATATTGTATGGTGTATTTACCACCCCAAGACACTTATATTCTTACTACAGTTATAATGACATTTTATTGTTTTCCTCCATTTCATGAAAATAATTTTTAAATCACAGATTGTAAGGTTACACCTAGGAAAATTATAGATCTTTTTTTTCAACTTGGTTTGCTGTTTTATCAGTTGGGCACAAGTAATTGAGTCATCATTATCTTTTTGTTGTTGTTGTTAATCCTCACCCTAGAATATTTTTCCATTGATTTTTTTAGAGAGAGTGTAAGGGAGGGGGAGAGACAGTCAGAGAGACACATTGATTGGTTGCGTCCCACATACGCCCTGACCAGGATCAGGGATTGAGCCTGCAACCAAGGTACATGCTCTTGACAGGAATCAAACCCAGGACCCTTCAGTCTGTAGGCCAATGTTTTATCCACTGAGCCAAATTATCTAGAACAAGTCATCATTATCTTGAAAAAAATTTACATATTAATTTACATTAATATAAAGTGCTAGAGGCCCAGTGCATGAAATTTGTGCATGGGGGTGGGGAGTCCCTCAGCCCAGCCTGTACCCTCTTCGCTGGCCGCAGGCACCCAGGACCTGGGCCGGCTTCTCCCAGGCTGGCCGCAGCTGCAGGGACTGTGGGCGGGCGGCTTCACCCGGGCCACAGCTGCAGACGCCCGGGACCACGGGGAGGGTGGCTTGTCTCTCTCCTGATCCACAGGCACAGGTGCAGCCGCTGGCACCTGACAGCACGGGGCAGGCTGGCTGGTCCCCATGTCTCTCTCCCCAGTGTTGGTCTGAGCAGTTATGGCGTGAGGGTGTGACATGAGGGTGTGACGACCATTTGCATATTAGCTCTTTATTATATAGGATAGGATGAGGAGGAGATCATATTTTTAAGTGATGATGTAAAAGGTCGTAATTGGCAACACTTGTGTGCTGTGTTTTTACTGTTGAGCACACAGGCACAATTGTGCTGAGAAGGGATTCGTGTGATTCCCTTTTGATCTCCTGGAGAGAAGTTCTGGTGGGTTAGTGAAGTGTGGATAGGAGAGAACACTTGTACTGATAACCTTGTTAACAAGTGCATTTCTGTTGTTCATTTGTGGTTTACTCGCCTTTCTGGTCATTTCCTTGCAGGTGTGCTGATTCATAGCTGCAGTTTTGACCATGGGCTTTGTGGATGGATCAGGGAGAAAGACAGTGACTTGCACTGGGAACCAGTGAGGGACCCAGCAGGTAAGCCCAGTTTTACTCTAGGACTCATTTCAGGTTGATCCCCTTGGAAGGCCCAGTTCTGCTAGTCAAGTGCACTGTAACATCTCTAAGAAGGTAAGGAGAGATCTTGTCCAGCATTCATAGTCCGTTTGTTAGCTGTCAACTAGAATTATGGGAAGGCGGGTAGCTCACTAAAAGGCTTGGTAAAGAAAACACGTGGGCTTATTCTAACTTATAATTTTCAATTTACCTGTCGTGCCCCATTCCCAAGCATAAAAGAAGTACATCAGCCATGGTAGTAGTTCTTGGTTGTTTTCTCAATCATGCAGTTTTTCACTTTTTTAAGATTTGAGACATAGTTGAAGGAGCCTGAAATTTCTGTGAAGTTGTGAATACCTCTCTGGAAAAAATGTCAATCTAACTTGGATGCTGGAGAAGTTAGTTATAATGACCATTATTTATTCCACTAAAGAATATTCTTATAGTAAGTTGGATTTAGACATAGTTCCTTGGAAAATTAACAGGCTTTTAAATTGCACACTTCCTACTAATCTAAAGTTTTAGTACTTGCAAGATGTTTTGTTGTCTTGTTCCAGGAAGCAAAGCTACATATTGTTGCTTTTTCCCCTCCCCTCAGTAATTGAATCTTTTATAGATGATGTCAACTTAATGAAAGGATGAGGAGTTTGACTTCTTTTTATATTTCTGCTTCTAGATTTAGAAATGAAAGGGACAATATGTGAAGAAAAAGTATATCGTTAACTAAAAAGGATGTTGTTAATTAAAAGCCTAGTTGTTAAATACCATTCCAAGTATTATATAGAAGAACAGAAAACACACAAAAGTTAACTCGAGAGAGGATATGCTCTGTTAATCCAGTTATTCGCAAACTTCAGCATTGGTACAAATCAGCTGAGGGCCTTGTGAAAATGTAGATTTTGATGCCTTTCTAGCAAGTTCCTTGGGGATACCTCTGGCACTAATCCTTGATGCACATCGCAAGTAGAAAGGTATTAAAATGTTAGTCTAAAATATTTCATTAAATCCCCTAAGATTAAAATACTAGACAAATATTGAACAATGAGAATTTGAGGTAAGCTTTTAAAAATACGAATATTCTATAAATTCAAATGGGTTTTTTAGATTTCTTTTAGCTATTATTTTCACGACGTGCATGCATACACACAAAGCAGTCCCTCTCTCCTGTTAGCTCTCTCATTCATTGAAGGTTAACTCTGAACAGGACAATATTATTATACATTTTTAATGTTATTTTTTAATTACAGTTGCCAAATATTATTTTACATTAGTTTCAGGCTATAGCGCTATGGTAGACAGTTACACAATTTACAAAGTGATCACCCTGATAATTCAAGTATTCACCTGGCATCATATGTACTGTTATTATAATATAACTGACTGTATTCCCTATCCTGTACTTTACATCCCCATGACTATTAGGACAACATTAGTATTATTAATGTCACATATATCTGTGAATTAGAAAGAAACCAACATTTAATTATTACCTACTACAGTCTTGAGTCATTCATCATTTCATTAATTTTATTTAATATCTTTTTATCCACCCTGTGAAGCAGGTTAAATATTGTTTTTATTCCACAAAGGAAATACTGAGGCCCAGAGTGTACATAAATTTCCTAAGTCCACGGAGCAAAAGAACGGACTTCACATCCAGACCTCTCTGCGCTGCCCACGCAGCCTCCGAGGCAGTCCAGTGTCCGGAACAGCCAGGAGTGTTCTGGGGACGTCCCTCCCTCACAGACTGGCCTCCGTCTCCTATGGTAGTGCACATGGTCCATGAGCAGATCTCAGGCCTGTGGATTCAACTGACCGCTGACCTGAAGTAGTTTGCTACCAGAGAAAGGATCGTTAGCAGCCATGCATGTTCAGGGTCATAATGAACTTAACCCTTTTAAGTCAAGTACACTGGAGAGAGTAGTTTGTTAGTATGCTAAATAAACTCAAAAGAATTCATTACACATCTACGTAGTCTATGTTGATAGTAAAATAATTGATTTTTAGAATTTCAATACCATATTATAGAGCCAATTTAATACTTTTAAACAATTTAGTTATTATTCATCTCATAGGTAAATGTTTAGACTTGTTGTGACCCAAATTCCACTTGCCCTCTGATAGAAAAATGAGAAGAGAATTGGAAATTAAAATGGCAGGCAAAAAAAAGCTGGAAATGGCGATTTGGCTGTGATAGCACAGAACCGATGGAAAGGCAGCGCTGGCTGCCGGGTGAGCCTGGATGGCGCCTGGGGAAGTGCGTGACCTTCTGGGGCTGCTCCAGGTTTTACCCGCGACCTGGATGAACTGGCTGTTGAATTTGGCCATTGAAGGCAGGCTTCCCAAACTGGATGGCGCGAAGCCAGAGGAGAACGTGTGGAGCGGTGCTGACACACCAGCTCCACAGCATTAGATCCGCGGGTCTCATTGAAGAGGGTGAAATCTAATGAGGATGAGGACAAGGTAGGGCTCATGGTCTAGAAACCTACCGTGGGAAGGGAAGAAGTGCCTTAGCTGTAAGTGTGCACGACTTTAGAATTTTAGTGGATAATGAAATCAATGAGTGAACCCTGTGTGTGTGTGTGTGTGTGTGTGTGTGTTTTTAATATGGAACGCTTCACAAATTTGCATGTCATCCTTGTGCAGGGGCCATGCTAATCTCTATATCGTTCCAACTTTAGTAGATGTGCTGCCAAAGCGAGCACTGAACCCTGTGTTACTGCCAAAATGTTGGATCATTTCCCAAGAAACATGCCCCCCCCCACCCCCGCAGAATAGAAAAATCCATTTTGGTGGGTTCTTTCTTGTCTGAGAAGAAGAAGAATAGAGATAAGTATCAGTCATTCAGAAAGACCTGGGTGGAGAGGGGTCCCAAACCCTGTGCAAGAGCAGGGGAAGGGACCAGAGTGTTTAGCCTGGAGAAGAAACAGTGGAACAGGGCTGACTTTGTACTTGACTGACAACGTCTATCACCATTGCTCTGTGACCACAAAGGGATGGACGTCAGATCAGTAGGTGACAACTATAGAGAGATGAACGTTGGCTCACTCTCTACAGAACTTCCCCACAGTCAGGGCTGTTTAAAAAGAGCTCAGGCTGTTCCAAGTAAGGAGCTCTCTGTCGGTGGTAACATGTGGCAAGATGTTTTGAGCACTGGATAAGCATTGGGTTAGAAAACGTCTTCCGCCAGCTCTGAGAGCCTCTGACTGAGAATGGAACGCCCCGGTAATCCACAGGAGAGCAGTGAGCAGCAGGGCTCCAGCTTGGAAGATGGACAGGAGACCAAAGGAGGGAAGAGGGTTAGGAGTGCATGGCCTAGATCAAGGTGGCATTGCAGATGGGCTTTTTAGACTGTGGTGGGGAATTCTAACCAAATACTGATGGAGAAATACTAAATAAGCTTCTTAGGAAGAATGCCTCTTTTTCTTCTAGGAAGTTTAGGTGAGGTTGTATGTATATAAATATAAGCGATTTAATGAATTATATCTGTGAATTCTCTAATTACCAAGCTAGCTGTTTCTAAATTGTTTCTATCTAAATTATACCATTTGAAAAGGAACATATGTTTGGATTTCCACAGTTAGGACTGGTTTTAATATACATTTCTTATCCAAGATCCAGAAATGCAAATATTCATTTATGCTAATATCTCCAAGAAAAGGAAATTCTCAAATGAATTTACAACTTTGAGAAACAGCTGTAAAATGATTGCATTTGCTAGCTGGCCTCCCTTGAGCTCATTGGATCGTGTTTATCACATTCAATCTTAAACTTAACTGTGAGATAGTGAAATTAATACATTCCTCTAAAGCAGTGGCTCCCAACCTTTTCTTGGCCATGCCCCACCTAAACATCTCTAAAATCCTGATTACCACCCCTCCCCCCGTGACACATAATTCTTATTACTGTATTCAAAAAGTGAACTCCTATTCACATGGAGGAAGCCTAAAAGTCCATTAACTTGGTCTAAACAAGCTTCCAAAGAACATAGCATCCACAAAAGAGAAAAATAAAAGAATGAAAGGATAGTTGAAGTACTGAGGAAGAAATCACTAAGAAATTGTTTAAAAAAATGATATGAAGTGATATGAAAAAATAGCAAATAAAGTTTCAAAACATATGATAGAGAACTGAAATGCATAAATATGTCACAATATATATTTACTAGCGGCCCGGTGCACGGATTCGCGCACCAGTGGAGTCCCTTGGCCTGGCCTGCACCCTCTCACCATCCATGACCCCTTGGGGGATGTCGGAGAGCCAGTTTTGGCCTGATCCCAGCAAGCCAGGCCGAGGGACCCCACTGGGCCTCTAGTATGCATATAAGATCTTTGGTTAATCTCTTCCCTCCCTCCCCTTTCCCCTCTCCCCTCTGAGATTCATCAGTCTGTTCCATGTTTCCATGCCTGTGGTTTTTGCTCCTGTATTGAGCATCTGCTTCCTGGTGGTCAATGTGCATCATAGCTACCGCCTGGCCAGTCGCTTAGGCTTTTATATATATAGTTATACTGTATATGAGGCCCCTAGAACCATAAGAAATGCAAAAAATTCACTGTTAATAACTCATTCTTGAATTGCCCACCCCCCCCTTAAAAATCAAATTGCCCCCTGTGGGGCATGTGCCCCACATTGGGAACCACTGCTCTAAGGAATGGAAAGTTGTGCTGTCAACAGATGTGGTGATTCACAGCAGGCACCTAGCGGTGGCCCTGAAGGCACACCCTTCTCCATAGATGTCAAGGCTGCACCTGAGGCTCTTTTCCTGGAACTCTCATCACTGGGGATCATGGGTTAAAGACGGCTGATTCAGTGCCCTGTCTGCTACTGCTAGCTGCAAGGAATTCACTTAAACACAAAACAAGCATGCCAGCGTGTACATACAAGTATGCCTGGTGCAGCATTAAAAAGCATTATTTTGAAAAATTGTAAACGGAAAAATAAATCCACAGTGAAGATACAAGCTGCCTTTCAGCCCTGGCTCACAGTTACCCTCCCAGATACAACCAGTTTCTTGGTTATCTTTCCAGAGATATAGTTGTCCATACAACCACAAAGCACCCTCTTACGTACCTTGCTTTTGTCACTTAAGGATATTACGCTAAGAGCTGACATGAAGAACAAGGACTTGAAAGAGGAATGTCATTTGTACTTGGATCGAGAATGCCTGGGCTGAAACCCAGCACCCACAGCTTACTAGCTATGACCTTGAGCACGTTACTTAACCGAGGATAATCAATAGTATCTATTCAACATATTTAAAGCAGTGCCTGTCCCCGAGTTACCATTAAAATAGCATTAGCCATTGTTGTTGAAGATTGTCCTATATCAGAACATACAGAACACCCTCATTCTTATTAATGACAGCTACTCCATTATTCCTTAGATGTTCCCTTGTGTTTAACCACTGAGGAACGTTTCCATTGTTTCCAGTCTTTCGGTTTTTCAGACAAGACTGCAGTGAAAACCTTACACACATATCATTTCAGACGTGTCTGAATACGTCCTATCCTAGATGTGGAATGCCAATCAAAGGGAACTTGCATCTTGAATTTTGATAGGTTTTACTGAGTTGCCCTTCATACAGGTTATAGAAATTTATACTTCTCCAAACAATATTTAAGGACCGCCCCAACACAGATCTTATTAAACTACTTTTTAAAATCTTTACCAAGCTTATTGGTAGAAAGTCATCTCGTTTTAATATTATTTTATTGTGAAAAGCTGACCATTTCTTCACATTTTAAAAGTCCTTTTTTTTGAGATGCTTTTTATTTTTCTTTTGTGTTCTTTTTATTGTTGATTTTTGAGCTCTTTATGTGAAAAGGAAACTTTATCCTATTTCATGTATTGCAAATTTTTATTTTATTTTTTTTGCTTGTCTTACTACTTTATGGTATTATCTTAAGTGTGAAAATCTGGAAACAACTTAAATGTTCTTCAGTAAAAAAGTGGCTAAATTATTAATGACAAACAGCTATGAAAAATGTATTTGTCATAAAAATGGCTGGTATATTTATGAAAAAACATAAGTTATTACACTGCAAAAATGTTCAGAGCAGCTCTAGGGAGGGAGAGCAACAGTAGCCTTTTTGCTCATATTTTACACGTTAGGGTTTTAATTGCCTCTAAAAAGATTATTTGACTCTTGCTAGGCTGCCTTGGTTTGTTAGGTTGTCTTATTCGCAGGCAGCATCTGGCAGTCATGTTAGTATACATTCCACAGAGACTCAAGATAATCCTTGTTTTCTTAAAACTTGCAGGTTTAACTGTAATAACCTTATATCTTAGTCTTAAGAAAAATACCTGTGACAATTCAAAAGCTGACTTATGGGGAGACATTTAAAATCCATCTAAATATTTTGGCCTAAAATGCCATTTGGATTAATGGGGGTAGCGGGGGTGGACTGAGGATAAAAAATTGTTTGTTGTTGGTGAGTCAAGTATATAACTCAAGGACCTATTTCTCTGCAGGTTTTTTTTCTTCTGTCTTCTTAGAACATCATTTATTCAACAGATGGCATTACACTCCTACCATGTGCTAGGGATGCCCTGGGGTGGCTTGGGGCAATGGTGGGTTCTGACATCTCCTGGGGGAGAGAAACAGGCACACCAGTGATCCAACCTGAGGGCAGCACATGCTGGATACAGAGTTCAGACAGTTCTGAACTCAAACCTTCACTCTGCCACTCACTGGGTGACACCTTGGATGACCTCACCTCAAAGCCCTAACTCTGCATCTGTAAGGCCAGCCTTCAGGGTTCATGAGATGCCCCAGGAGCACTCAGCACAGCCTGGTACAGAATACGGGCCCAGACATCACCTGCTGGTCCTGCCACTGCTCAGAGCACACGTGGGAGAGGAGAAGTCACTTGATAAATAAAAGGACACCCCAGCTGAAACCGGTTTGGCTCAGTGGATAGAGCGTCGGCCTGCAGACTGAAAGTTCCCAGGTTCAAATCCGGTCAAGGGCATGTACCTGGGTTGCGGGCACATCCCCAGTAGGAGATGTGCAGGAGGCAGCTGATCAATGTTTCTCTCTCATTGATGTTTCTAACTCTCTAGCTCTCTCCCTTCCTCTCTGTAAAAAATCAATAAAATATATTTTTTAAAAAAGACACCCCAAACTTTAGCATCCCTGATACAAATTAAGCATAAAAATAAGTGGTTGTCTTTTCATTGAAAAATAAGTGGGGTTTCTACCAAAATACATACATGTGTTCAGCATTCACACCACAGTTTCCTGTGGATAAATCAGTGCTGAAACACAGTGTGTTTTCAGTTGGCTCCAATTCAATAGCCTGAGAGGAATGTCATTTGTACTTGGATGGAGCTTCAAATACTACTTGTAACTTTCTCTTGAGAAGCAGCTCTCCCCCGACTCACTGCTGCTCAAACTTTCCCCCCCTAATAGCAATTCCTCTAACAATGGGGAGGCACGCTCTATGGCCCCAGGGATCTGAGGACAAAGTGTCCGCCCAAAGTGACAGTTTTTATTAACACTTTGTGTTCATGTATATGTAATAAAAAATATTTATTATATATTTGTTACTATGTAACACATTGAAAACTGCTTATCTTTAAATAAAGCTGATGTTCCAGGAAGTGGAGGGTTTCCAGAACATCTCTGCATCCTCCTGGGGTGAGCTGCACTCCAGTGTGAGAAGCATACCAAGCTCTGGCTTTTTGTTGTTGTTTAGTTTTGTTTTAAATATGTTTTTACTAGAGGCCCGGTACACAAAATTTATGCATGGGGGGAGGAGTCCCTCAGCCCAGCCTGTGCCCCCTTGCAGTTAGGAAGCCCTCGGGGGATGTCCAATTGATGGCTTAGGTCTGCTTCATCCAGGGAGCGGGCCTCAGCCATCAGTCGGACATCCTTAGCACTGCCGTGGAGGCGGGAGAAGCTCCTGCCACCACCGCTGCATTCACCAGCCATGAGCCCGGCTTCTGGCTGAGCAGTGCTCCGCCTGTGGGAGCGCACTGATTACCAGGGAGCAGCTCCTGCATTGAGCGTCTGCCCCCTGGTGGTCAGTGCATGTCATAGCGACTGGTTGTTCTGCTGTTTGTTTGATTTGCATACTAGCCTTTTATTATATAGGATTGAATTTAGAGAAGAAGGGAGAGGGAGAGAAGAAATATCCGTGAGAGAGAGAAACATTGGTCCACTGCCTCCTGCACAGTCCCCCTGGGGGGATCAAGCCCGCATCCCCAGGCATGTGCCCTGACTGGGAATCAAACAGGCGACCTCTTGGTGCACAGGATAACGCTCAACCCACTAAGCCACACCAGCCAGGGCAAGCTCTGGCATTGTTGAAGGGTTTTCTCTCTAGAGTTAATAAATAAATAAAAATAGGGAGAAGAGATAATAAACAGATTTAATGCCCTTTAAACCACATCTGCTCTACTGCCCGGAGGTTAATTATCCATGTAGAAAAATTCTCCATGGCCACTTAGCGTCAACCACCTAATCAGCCAGCCGGCTTGACAACATCATCATAACCTGGGGAGGACCAGGAGGTGGTGAAAGTGTGTGGTTTGTGCATGCCTGTGTGTGTCTGATCCTATTCCACTGGAAGTAGTCACAGTGTTAGGATTACTTATTCCTGTGTGTCCTTGGCAGAACTTGTCCTCTCCGTGAGCACAATGGGCGAGTGTTTTCGGTAAACACAAAACCATGGGATCTGAGACAGGCATAGAAATAAGCCATGGTTTTCTCCTGCAGTAACATGGGGTTCTTTGCAAATGACTTTGAGGTTGATTAGGACTGCCCATACTGTTTGTGCTGGAAAGGATTGTCACAGGTACACACACGGCCCTGCTTTCCCATTGCAGGTGGACAGTACCTGGCCGTCTCCGCAGCCAAGGGCCCCGGGGGGAAAGCCGCTCGCCTGGTGCTGCCCCTGGGCCACCTCATGCAGTCAGGGGACCTGTGCCTGTCGTTCAGGCACAGGGTCACTGGGCTGTACTCCGGAGCGCTCCAGGTGTTTGTGAGAAAACAGGGGGCCCACGGAGCAGCCCTGTGGGGAAGAAATGGTGGCCATGGCTGGAGGCAAACACAGATCAGCCTGCGAGGGGCTGGCATCAAGAGCGTAAGTAGAACCGCAAAGGGCGTGGACCTGGGAGGTTTTCCTCTCATAGGAGAAGCCTGGGGTCCGAATTGTTCTACTTAGTAACTCGGGCTCAGACAGAGTTTCATGTGTTTTTCTGGGCATGACAACTCCATTCCTTGCCTCTTTCTTTAATCCCTTTTTGCTTCTTATTACATTCTTCATTATAACCTCTGACCACCACCACTCTCCCCACCCTAGGGTAGATCCCCTACTTTTATTGAAAAAAAATGAATAATTAAAGTAAAAATGTTAATCAAAAGAAACTTCAAAGGACAGGGGTGCTGAGCTTAACTCGTCTTACTTTTCCTTTCCTTCCTTATACTTTAAACTCTGACCACCATGAGTTACCCTAAAGTGGTTTTCTCCAAAATGTTTCTTTAAAACCCATTGTTCCCTCTTTGCCTGGGAGACCATAGTTAAGCAGCTTTGGGTGGGATCCAGAGCAATAGACTTGAAAGATATTGTTCTGCTCAGGACAGGATGCGGGAAAGCTTGACTGAATATAGAAATCTTATCCTAAGTAACCAAGTCACATGTAGCAATGAGGTGATCTGTAACACCTCATCGAAATAACTTATTTGGGATGTGTCTTCTTTACGTTGCTGCTTCTAAAACTGTTACTATGAGGAGTTTCTGCATCTATGCTTGTAGGTATAGCTTCTGTAAACACTTTTAGAAAGAAAAGGTAGGCTCCATTAATACAGCTTTTACAAGAGTCTTAAACTTTATGTTACTCTGATTTTTTCTTAAAATTTTTCTTAATATGCCTATATATTTTTAAAGAACTAAAAAGGTAAATCATTTCAAATCACAGCAGAGACAGGTTTCATTTGTTTTGGAAAGGAGCAAGGATGCTATCCAAGATAAAATGCAAGAATAGTGGAAGTTCTTGGTCTGTGCACAAGTAGAACAATGCTGCGACGGGATGATGGCGTTGGCCTCTGTTCCATTTGGCAGCAGAGCTGCATGAGCCGAGTGGAGGAGCTAGGCAGCGTCAGAGGAGGCTGCATGGCAGTGATCTTTTAGGCTTCGGCTCTACGTCCGCACCTCTACGTGCCATCACCGTCTTTTTACTTCTGACCTTGGTAATCGTTGACAGAAGCAGCCTGGCTTTTAAAGGGTAACTGGTTCTGAGTAACGTGGTCTGATGCACAGTTTCCTGGGGATTTCAGTTTCTACCAGAGCGCAGGCCTCAGGTGGCACTGTTCTCTAGTCTTTCCTTCTGTTAAGTTTACTGTTTAGACCTGGGGGAAGTTTGCCTTTATTCTACTGGATGAGCCGGCCTGGGGAAGGGCAGAGGAGGCTTGACCAGTGTGTGTGTTCTCTCCCTAGGTCATCTTCAAAGGTGAAAAGAGGCGTGGCCACACTGGGGAGATTGGATTGGATGACGTGAGCTTGAAAAGAGGGCACTGCTATGAAGAACGCGTGCAGCTCCGCAACTAGCAGTGAACTCCTGTGTTGCTCCCTCTTCTTTTTCTGATCTTCACCTCCTGTCTTCTCCTCCCTTCTGTCAGGCCTCGGAGAAGAGTGGGTCAGTGGGTCAGAGAAAGCCTGGTTGTTGACCCACATCTTGGCCTGTTTTTGTGCAATCCCAATGGACAGTGACACTCCCTTTGACATAGAAGGGACATTGGTTAGACACATGCAAGCTGTCTGTGGGTGCTACCTACATCCCGTAGGAACTGGCTTCAGCATGTGAGACCTATGCCACCCTTCATCCTGGTGACAAGGTGTTCCTTGTAGCAAAGTATGGGAGACATTTTCAAAGGAAGTTCGTGCAGATGGCCATTCTGTTATCTGCCCAGTGTCGTGCCACGAGTAGTATTGACTTCCCCTAAGATACGCTGTACAATGTGCTTGTGAACTTTGTTTCTCGTCTTCACTGTTAGCTCTGGACTGGCCTGACCTCTTTTACTGCCATTCACTTTATGAAAGAAGGGTGTGTAACATACCCAAATGCGTTTATTCTTGTTATCTGTATTTTTCTTTTAAAGACAATTATGTAAAGTGGGCACGTAATTCCTCGTTGGTGGTATTGTGTTCTGTGTAAATGTGCTATTGATATGACGCAGTTGCGTGTTCCTGATATTTACCGACTCCAGTTGCAAGGGAAAAGGCAGCTTGTGATCTCTTGAATTAAAAATACACGGTGAAATGTTGTCCAGTCCTATGACCTTTGATCGGTAGCAAGAGAACTTTGGAAATGGTGTCAGGTTGTGGCAGTGGAGGGATGAATGTTTTAAGTACCTTGAGTTTGATCCCTACAAAGGAGAGTAAACCATTTAGATCAGCGGTTCTCAACCTGTGGGTCGCAACCCCTTTGGCGATCCAACGACCCTTTCACAGGGGTCGCCTAAGACCATCCTGCATATCAGATATTTACATTACGATTCATAACAGTAGCAACATTACAGTTATGAAGTAGCAACGAAAATAATTTTATGGTTGGGTCACAACATGAGGAACTGTATGTAAAGGGCCAGAAGGTTGAGAACCACTGATTTAGATAGACAGGAAGCTGCAGTTAGCACATAAAACCCGCACTGTTTCTCACTTTAAAATCGACGGCGTTCCCCAGAATAACACGGTTCTCCTTGGTAACCTGTAAGACCTTGGAGACAGTCCTGCCGTTTCAGAGGAAGGGTTCTGTTTATGGGAGCAGCTGGGGAGAAGCCTGGGAGCAGCTCCCCTGGAATGGATTTCATACTAATTTTTAAATCAGTATAAACATAGGCGGGTCCAGCTCACAACTTATGTGCTACCAAGTCAGCATGGGGTAGGGTAGGCCTGGGCTTTGAGGTATTAAGTGTGTTGGAATAGGACTCATTTACACACTAGAGCAACGGGGCAGGATTGGAATTCTGAGATTGAAGGACCCTCAACTAATATATGTCCTCCTTGCATTTTTTAACTTTATATTAAAAAGAATATCGTTTTTAAAATGCAGCTTACTACTGAGACTCTTCCTCACTTCTGATTAAGTAATCAACATATTTTCTGCTGTTTTTGTCCAGAATCACAAAGATGATTAAAAGGTTGGAAAAAAAAAGATCTGTGGTGAAAAACTAAAGGAACTGGAATTATTTAGCCTGGAGAAGAGAAGACTGAGGGGCAAACCATTGCTGGTTTTCCAGTGCATGGAGGGCTGGTACAGAGAGGATGGTGGCCAGCTGTTCTCCACAGGCACTAAGAATAGAACAAGAGGAAACAGGCTTAGGCCAGAGTATGAGGGAGCATTTGCTGGCAGGGACAGTTGTTAAATTAGAATCCCAAAATCCCTTATAAAGGAGTGTCTCTCGCTAGCTCAGAGGCTTTTAAAAAATTAGATAAAACTTTGTCTATTTAAGGTGGTTAAGGATGTTTTAGAAAAAGTAATAGATTACACAATCTCCCAAAATATGTTTTGCTCCTATTACTGTGTAGTGAAAAATCTCCAGACTAAGTAATTTGGACTAGGCCTGGGTTTAATTTAGGCATTTCCCTCTTTGGCTTCTATTGGAAAGAAATCAAAAGGGGTCAAGCCCACCAAATGCTGAGCTTTCCCTTTATGGCAAACCTAGCAGTATTAAAACAAAAAAAGAAAAAAAAACCATATATATATATATTTTATTCCAAAAAGAGAGTATAATAGGCAGATGTTTTAGTATTTCAATGTTCTAATGTGTTTTGTTTTGTTTTTCTTGAAAAAGGTATAACCCTTTCACTGCTCAATGGACAATGCTTCCGATTTGTAAAGACCATAGCAAAGAGCACAGTTTACAGAGACTTTAACTGGTGCATTCTCTCTGCAATGTGTGTGACATCTTAACTTGGCTACTGATACAGAGTGCCATGCCCAACACTGCCAGGCCTTTTCCTTCACCTAATTTGTATAATTCACTCTCTCTTTATCAACTGAATCTCCCAAGTTCCCCAGTGGTAATGGGTTTTTTTTGAACAACAGGTATAATAGTGTACCTACCATAGTATGCCTATAATATCTTTTGTCATTTAACTTGGTGGAGGCAGGGCAGCAGGGGAGGGTAAATCAGTGAGCCTTTGAGTAGGGGCCAGCAAATATGGCCTTAGAGCTCTTTTTAATGATTCTTTTCCTTTTGTGTCATATAACTGCACAACTGAAGACGAAAGGGGGAAATAATTGAAAATTTCACTTTTAGGTGCCAATAATGCATTGCACTAAACTGATGGAAGAAGTTATCCAAAGTACTGTATAACATCTTGTTTATTATTTAATGTTTTCTAAAGTGAAAAATGTCAGTGGTTTCCCAAACAGCCAAATGAAAATAATTCTTTGTAAATAAAAACACTGTTAATAATACCGGTAGTTCATTTCTTATTGTTTTGAGTTATTTTTTATTGGGAGGATATTTACTGCTTGCCTGTTTGGGGACAAAGATAACTGCCCACATTATTATGCTTTCTAGGTTATAAAATATGAGGTCATTATTCAGCAACATGGACAGGGAAAGTAATCTGTTCATATAGCACAGGTCATACCTTAGCAAATTACTTTAGTTTTCTTATATCTCACTTAGTTATAAACATTTGTCTCAACTTTTTTTTTCATGGAAAACCAGCATAAACTATAAATAAATATATAAATATATATATAAACTAGAGGCCCGATGCACGAAGATTCATGCAAGAATGGGCCTTCCTTTCCCTGGCTGCCGGCACTGCCTTCGCTCCAGCAGGAGCCGCCTTTGCACCTTCCCATGCTGCCTAGAGGCCCAGAGTGGCTGGGGCAGTGCGGAACACCTGCATCCTGCCCCGCCCTTGGCTGCTCAGCACTTGTGTATGCAAATCAACCCATCTTTGTTGGGTTAATTTGCATCCTCACTCCTGATTGGCTGGTGGGCATTATGAAGGTACGGTCAATTTGCATTTTCTCTCTTATTAGTGTAGATTATATGAAAAGCCTTTTTACTAGTGTTGATTTTATTTATGACATTTTACTCATTTTCCAACAACCTTTTCTAATGGAGAAAACTATAAAAAATTAATGAGATGCAAGATTAAAAATCTGTTCTACAAAATTATAGAGAAATGGTTCAATGGCTTCTTTCTTTCCAATACTAGCAGCTAGGACACTTAAGTTTTGAATAAACTCAGATGTTAAGCAAAAGGTAAAGAAAAACTGAAGTTCCCTTATCTCAGAGGTGCTTCTTACCCATTCTTAGGAGATCTGAGAAAGCTTATGTTTTCTGAATATGCTAAGAAATTTAAAAATAATATTATGATAGCTATGTACGGTGCCAGGTGGGTACTGGGAATATTGGGGAGAACACTTTATAAAGTATATGACTGTCTAACCACTATGCTATATACCTGAAACCAATACAAAATAATACTGAAAATAAACTGTAATTGTCAAAAAAATTAAATAAACAACTTTTGAAACCTATTTGAAGTTGGGGTTTGCAGGCAGCAGATAAGTATGAGATTCCAGGGTCCAATTCATTTTATTTTTATTTGGACAGATTTTCGAGTACTTACTGCTGTTGGCTCGGGGATACAACAGAAAGCAGATTTTCTTTTGTGGGGTTTCAATTTCGAGAAGATGGGTATTTACCAAAGTCCTATAAGTAAATGCCAAATTGCTCTTCTGGAAATAATGGTGTGTGGTACCTTGAGGCTCTGAAAGTGTGGATTCCATGCCCTTGCCCATTGCTTTTCAAACTTCAACGTGCATGGAAATCATCCCGGGATCATGTGTGAAAATGCAGTTTTTGATTTGGTGGATCTGGGTGGGGATTGAATTCTACATTTCTAACCAGCTCCAGGCGATGCCCCTGCTGCTGGTCCTGAGCCCCAACTTACGTAACAAGGCCGAATTATACACAGAGGGCTCTGGGCCTTTATCTCTGTTAACATTCACTGTTGGGACACCTAAAAATCCATGCTTCCAAGATCTCCACAAAAATTCACTAAGTTCTGGTGTGTGTTTTTTACCCAAAAAACTTTAGAGTTTCAACAACTAGAGAATATAAAAATAGACAAATATTATTTTAAAAGAACAGAAGTTCTGAATATAATAAGTACCATCATATAAATGAAAATTTCAGCTAGGAGACTCACTCAACTTAAAGATATGTCACTTGAGATTATCTAGTTCAAGGAAGAGAAAGATAAAGCTTCAATAAGGATAAAACAATAAAGATCAACATGGAAATAGACTTAAAAAAATTCTATAAAACAACCAGACCTAACAGGCATCTAAAAACAATAGTACAGGAATACACATTATTTTCAAGTATGTGGAGCTGTTGACAGACTATAAATTTGGTCATAAAACCAATCACAGTAAATTTAAAATTGTAATTATAAAAATACATTCTTACATGAAATAAAAGTAGAAATAAACAATAGGACTATTGGGAGAAATTCACAAATATATAGAAATTAACATGCTTGCAAATGACAAATGGGAAAAAAGAATTCAAAGGAAAAGAAAGAAATATTTTGAGTATAATAAAAATAAGAACAACATGCCCAAACTTCTGGAGTACAGGTAAAGCACTGTTTATAAGGAAATTTATATTTATTTGTAAATGTCAATAAAAGAAAAAAATCTTAAATTAGTAACCTAAACTTTAAACCATAGAAAACTAGACAAAGAAGAGCAAGTTAAATCAAAGTAAGCAAAATTAAAACAACAGATAATTAACAAATAAAATTGTGTGTGTGGGTTTTTAACAGGATAAACAATTTAAAAACCTTTGGCCAGACTAACAAAGAGAGAAAATACAAATAACTAATATCAGAAATGAAAGTAGGGATGTTATCACTAACCCTACAGAGATTAAAAAAAAAAAAAAGACAAGAGAATATTATGAACAACTATATGCCAACAAATTAGATAAACTAGATGAAATGGACAAATACCTAGAAACAAATTACCCAAATACACAAGAAGAAATAGAAAGTTCCAACAGACCTATGACAAGAGACAGAGCAATAATCAAAACATCCCAACAAAAGTTCAGGACC